TTAAGTCAAAATCTTTTTCGTTTAGGTTAGTAGAATTAAAAGAGTAAAGATTTGACTTTTCTTTTTAATGTAATTTTCGAAAATAAAATATATGTGAATCTTTTACAAATACTTGATTATTTATTGCCAAAAATAATTAAGCCAAAATCTTTTTCATTTAGGTAAGTGAATTTAAAAGAGCAAGATTGAGCAAGATTTGACTTTTCTTTTTTAAGGCAAATTTTCGAAAATATTTAAAAATGATTTTGAGAGAGAAAAAAAATAATTTTGTGGCTTATATAAAGAATATTAAAATATCTTAAAAATGATTTTGAGAGAGAAAAAAATAATTTTGTGCTTATAAAAGAATATTCTCTCTATCCTACAATATATCCTAAAATACTAACCACGAAAAAACCTTCAATAATCTTCATGGTCTTTAAGAAATCTTGGATTTATAAGAACTTGCCTTCTTTAGCAATTTCCATATTAAAACTCTGCATAAAATAATTTTAGCACATACAAGGATATTAAATTTATTTGTTTTATATAATCATCAAAATCTCAAGATAAAATTGACCCTTAAGCCAACAAATAGCTTGTACTGATTTGAGGTATTTAAAAAGGGAATCATTTTGACACTTTTATAGGGAAGGAAGTTTAGTTTTATCCTTCATGAGATTGGCGCTTTTAAGCCTTTACTTTTGCCTAAGCCACCCTTTCGAGTTTTGAAGTTCAGTTTTATCCTTTATGAGATTACTACTTTTAAGCCTTTACTTTTACCTAAGCCGCCCTTTTGAGTTTTCGACTTAGCAGGCTACCCTAACATTTGCCTAAGCCATCCTTTCGAATTTTTGACTTAGAAGGCTGCCCTAGCTTTTGCCTAAGCCGTCCTTTTGGATTTTCAACTTAGCAGGCTAAGACTGATTTTACCTAAGCTGCCTACCCTTGCAGGCTTTCGCTTAGGTATACTTATTTTTGCCTGAACCGCCTTTTACGAGTTTTCAATTCACACAAAGTAGCTCTATTTAATAGTGACATGGAAGGGGACAATACTTTTGGTGCTAATGCTTGCATGCATTCACACAAAGTATCTCTTGGGGTTATCCAAATTGCATGGATTAGTGAATTTGTTGCCATCGATATCTGACAAGATGACACCATCTCTGAAGAGGATTTTCTTCAAAATGTAGGGGCCTGCCTAGTTTGGCCTAAATTTACCTCGAGGATCTTGTATAGGAGCTCTAATTTCTTTGAATTGTAATAATTAGGGTGGTTTGTAACTCTTTTCTCCTTCCTCCCTTTCTTTGGATGGTTTACTTCATGTTGTATGGATGAGATTGAATGTACGTTTGACATGTTTTCCAAAAATGCATGAAAAGTTTTACATCTCAATTTTTTAGTTAATTGCATTATTAAATTATTATGAATTAATGGAAAATTAAGAGGCCGGTTTTGTGAACCCCTGCCCCAAATGCCAAAGCATATGAAATACATGATGACTAAAAGCAGAAATGCACGTGAGTGTGTGAGTCGCCACCTTGTTTAATTATTTCAGGGTAAACTAGGAAAAAACCCTAAAGTGACTCCAATTTTAATTAACCTAATTTGATAATTAATTATCCAAGTTTAAAGGCATGGTCCTTCGAACCCGTAGGTGGATCAGAGACGCTATGTCATGCTGGAGTGAAACTAACCATGAATGCATGCTTTGCAAAGGTAATTTGGACAATGAAAAATGGTTTTATGATGATTTTGACTTGCCGCGCTGGTTAAAATCCCAAACGTGCCTACGTACTTTACTTCCGTTTGAATGGAAGATCAAAGTCCACGTAGTTCGATAGGCCTCTTCTAGAGGGCTTTAGATGGGATGCTTGATGCATGAGTGTGTGTATACTTTGTGCATTTTAGTGTGTGTATGCTTTGTGCATTTTTGTTTAGGCCTTTTGCCAAAGAATTGATTGTCACAGGCACTCGGTGCCAAAATGTTGATTTGAGGCTTTTTGCCTAAAGAAAGGATTTGGGCTTATTCTTGCCAAAAGATAAGTTGGGCTCGCCAAAGATTAATTGGGCTTATTATTGCCAAAAGATTGATTATTTAGACGATTGTCGCCAAAATTGAATGATTTAAGGCTTTTTAGCCAAAATGAATTGATTTAGGCAATTGTCGCCAAAGGTTGGTTCAAGGCTTTTAGCCAAAAGAAATTGATTTAAGCGATTTGTCGCTATAAAAGAGATTAATTTTCACTTATAAGCAATTTATTTGCTTAAAGTGATTATTTAAAGTGAATTGTAATGTAGGGAATTGATTGCCAAGAAAAAATGTGTGTAGTGAAGGCTATTTAGCCACAATTATTGATTAATTGGACCTAAGCCGAATTTGTTCGAAATAAAAGGCAATTTTCACCATAGTTATTGATTAACTAGGCTTCTTTAGCCAATAATGTCAGATTTAAGCTTTAATACCACGATTATTAATTAATCGGGCGTTTAAACTTAATCTTTATTTGATTGAGGCAATTTATTTGCCTAGTGGATGATATGGATGCATTTAGGCAGTTATAGAGTTAATAGGAGTAGAAAAGAAGCATGCATGAAGTGCTAAAATTAAATAGGCGTAGTTTAGTTTGTGTACCTGATTTAATCTCCGACCGCTTCTTAACTCCAGGTTAAGCTCCTCGTTAAGGGAAATATTAATTAAAATGGAGTTTTAATGGCCACTTAAAGTAAAGCAAGAAAAAAAAAAATGAAAGCAGAATAAAATAAAATAAAATAAAATAAAGATCCAGAAAGCCGATAAAATAAGAAATCGCAAAGAGCGTAAAGGAGAAGAGAGGGTCGTCAACACAGACTTGTCCAAAAATGGAAGCCCCGGTGGCCTCTTTTTATTAGAAAAAAAAACGCAACCCCGGCGCGCCTGCCCGCCCTCGAGGGCGGGGGCATGCCCGCCTGGGCTGGGCTGGGCGTGCCGCCCATGCTTTGGCGGGTCGTGCCGCGCCTGGTTTCTGGTCGCGCGTGGCCGCCCTTCTGGGCGGGCGTGCACCGCCTGGTCTGGGCGGGCGTGTTCCGCCCCCCCCCTCTCCTCTGAACAATAATTCGTGTGATCGAAGCGGTTAGTAACGCCCAAACTAGTAGCCGGGATCGTCGGCGCCAGCTCGCCATCTAGCAGTTGCCCGCCCCGAATGCTGAGCGGCGAGTGCAGCTCGCCGTGATCTCTTGCAGTTTCTACATCCCGCCTCAGCCGGTTGGCATGCGTGGCCTTCCGTGCTCTCCCGCTCTTTTCTTGAGCCTCAGGATCTGCTGGGCGCTCGTGGCTCGTCGCTTTCCGTGATGAGGTACCTATCGTTTGGGTGCTCCACATTACTATACCCTATCTCCGTCACTCCCCGACGCCCCTGTGGGGCTCAACGTCTGGCGCCTAAACTACGCATCTGCCTCGCTTGTTGTTGGGCGCGTGTCGCGACCGCATGCAGTGCTTGTTTCGTTCCCTCTTTCCGGCATGGCTTGTTACCGGGAGAGTCCCGGACTGTACATTCCCAAACATAATTCCGGAGACCCAGACTGGTTTCCGGCTGGTGATAGTTCTGCTAAACATATTCTCCTCAGGACTATTGTGTTCTATAATAACCGATTACTCACTGTGGAACTTGCCAGACACTCCTCCCGCGTGGAATCCTTTTTGACTCTCTCTCTGGTCGACACCTGGATAAGGTTTTTGCGTGTGCGACTGTAATACTTGCCTTCTTGAGCCTCAAATTTAGGTATTTCAACAGTTGCCCCCCACCGGCAACCATAAAAGCAATGTTTGATGGGCCGCTTGGTGGTTGCTGAAATACACTAAAATCTTTGTAGTTGCGCAAATGTTAGACCGGCGCTTGGTTCGAAAGCGCGTGCACCCTACGCCTCTGCTTCGTTGAGCCTACTATTTTTGCTTAATCTCGCTCCATACAACAAAACTCAATTTATGCTTCACTATTCTTATTCATCCACTCTCAAATCAAAAAGTTTCCAAGCTCTCTCAAATCTCTCAAACTTTCTCATCATTGGCTTCCCCAGCTTATAGCAGCGTACTGAGTTCGGCAGGACCTCCTGGGGTCTCTGGAATTTCTGTTGGGACGATGTCAATCTTGCGTGCGGACGCTGACAAATCATTGCTCCATGGACCGGCGTCTTTTGCCAGCGTAAGCTCCCTTTTCGGCTATCTCGCTACTTTTTGGGCCTTAGGCAAGTGTGAATTATTTTTGCGTGGCCTTTAGGCTCCAAATTTACTGCATTCATTTATTTCGGGCCCTTAAGGGCCCCTGCAATCAACATCACGCTGACACTCATGCTTCTGTCACCGGTGTCTATGCCCAGGTCAGTTCCCTGTCACTCTCATTTATTTATTATTTGGGCCTTAGGCCAAAAGGTGAGGATTTTGGGCCTCTGTGGCCTGATTGTGAAATTTTGGGCCTTAGGCCAAATCGTGATTTCTTGGGCCTCCGTGGCCAAACTGTGAAGAGAAAGACAAATTTTATTAGTATGCATGCTAGGAGAGAATTAAGACATTACCCTTAGTAAGGAACTAAAGAATAATCTTAAGCCACTTTACCTTTTAGGATTCATACATTAGGCTGGATGTAGGCGAGTCCTCTATTGCTGAGATCCCATGTTGAGCATACTTGATTCCCCGGTACTCGCGCTCGGAGGCCATGTCACTTAGAGTGCTCTCGCTGCTCACCTGCGCGTGCTCTGCGATCAGGACCGCTCTCCGTGTCGCAACGAATTTACAAGAGTTTAGCGCCTGGGAACAGACTCGTTGGACTTGCGACGCTGTGCTTCTCGGTTTCGTGTATCCCACCAACTCTACTCTCTACCCTCACTTCTCTATTGACGATGTCATGGAGTATGTACGACATGACCTCAAACCTTGACGTATTTACATTGGCTTATTTTCTGGAGTGTCCCTCTTTGCGCTACTTCGGGCGATCTCGAGCTATATTGACGAGGACGATTGGAGGACTGCGGTCACCCCCGACCGAATGACAGAGCTGATAGGGATTGACCTTCCCCGGATTGTTAGACCCAGCCATTCCTCCCCCGACCTGAGTGTTTCGAGGCACTGGCTATCCTCCCAGGCCCCTGGCATTTATGCCAGACATAGACAAGGAGAGCTAACGGCTACTCAGGTCGCTAGATTCACTCTGCTGCTGCTGTTTGCTTCGTCTTTCTGGTCTAACAGAAAAGAGAAGTTTAATCCCTCTATACTGAGGAGCTTGGAGGACTTGGCCCACCTCACTGAGTATGACTGGGCCGGTGCTATTCTGAGCCGCATGTACGATGATATGTGCGATCTGAGTCGGGGCCACTGTAGGCTCGCGCGCTTTGCCTATTCTTGAGACACGCATAGATACTCGCGGATATGATGATGTGCTGCACTCCTTGAGTTCAAGGGTAGCCTACTGCCTACGGGGCTCAGTTGGCGCCACTATTGTACATGCTCGCGCTCTCGTAAGAGAACATTATCAACATACTTACTTTTTCTATAGATATTAATCCTTTTCCTCCTGTTGGCAGGACTTCGGTCCTCTTGAGTATTTCTTCGCTCATATCTCCGCTCTGGGCCTTTGAGTATTTTCCCTATATCCGCCCTGAGCTGGCCCATACTGATCTTGGGCTAGGGTTGGTACCTTTAGCTTGGAGATGGTACCGAGCTAACTAACAGTCTGTTCTACGCCGGAAGTCTTTGGGGGATCTGCGGAGCTTCTTCGATGCTTGTACCATAGGGCAGGCGAGTGCATTCCTAATTTCTCTTGGTTGTGTGAAAAATAAAAAAGATTTATTAACATATTTGCTTCTCTTACATAGGTTGAAGTAGGGGCGATGGGCATCCGACTCCAACATTGGATTGAGGCGGATCCCCAGGCGATGGGCATCCGACTCCAACATTGGATTGAGGCGGATCCCCATTTCAGGCGATCAGAGGCTCTGTCTCGGCGGCGGTTTGTCTTATCCCATCCTATTCTGAGACGTTACTACCTGGGTGAGCGAGTGGACTTCCAGGTTAGGGGCTGCGGCTCCGTTCCTCTTCCTCCCCCAAAGGACATGCGAGCGGGCAAACAGATGGTTCTTACAGATGTCCATACTGAGGGTATCCCGCACATGGAATTGATCCGGGGTGGAGATTATGACGAAGAATTGATCCGAGGTGGAGATTATGACGAATTCTGCCAGGTGTTTCTGATGCGGCCCATCGGCTCCAGGTTTGACAGTCTCCCGAGGTCGACTCCTTCCCATCCGCTTGGCACCCGTTCCTCTCGGGCTTCAGGTTCTTCGGCCAGGACTCCAAGGAGGAGGCCTGTGACCCTGCCTTCTTCTTTTACTCCGGTGGAGGGTCCGTCTCGAGCTGGCCCTAGTCATTCGGTCGGTGCCTTCAGGATTCCCCAGGCCATTTCAAAGGCTACCAGGCCTGTCCACCCGGGCTTGGCCAATTTGCACCTTCCATACAGCATTTCCTATTACACTCCTGAGGGTACTTCGTCTCTTAGGGAAGTATCCTTGGACCGTGTGAATTGCCTGGCTCTTCCTCCTGATGACATCAATGAGGTAATGACTGGTAAATTTCTCATAAAAAGGATTCATAAGAGATTTGTATATTGACTTTGTATTTTTTTGTGATTCCCAGGTTCCTGACGGCTTGATCCGTCAGATGATGGAGCTAATCCTTGGAATGCAGGAGGAACTAACTTCAGCTTGGACATTGCAGGCTTTTGACGACCAGAGGAGGAGGAGGTCTCGCCGCTGATAGCTGCTAGATTTCTTTGCTTTCCTTTACTTTCTTTCCCTCTTTATTTCTTTTTTTTTTTACTGCTATTGATCTTGGCCAGTATTTTCTGTACTCAACTTATTTTTGTACTGTATTTGATTTAATTTACTGACAGTATGCATGCATTAGATTTGAGCAGAAAAGGATATTAAAAGTACACACTTTGGTTTTCTCTTTTTTTTTGTTTTTTTTTTTTCGAAAGAGAAGAGAAAAGGACAAGAAAAAAAAAAAGTTATTTTCTACTTTTTATTTTCTATTTTTCTTCTTTTTTCTCTCTTTTTTTTTTTCTTTTAAGATGGAACCTAGCATGCAACATCTGGACTAGGAGTCTCTCCAAAGTGAAAAGATATCAATTTGGGAGGTACGGTCTTTTCTCCTTCATTAACTTTCTTCGGGGGTGTAGTAGTGATTTGGGAAATTTTTACGGGCCTGCTATTAGACTTTGGGGACCCCGGGAAAGCCCACGTTTTTTTCGCGTTTTGGGGCTATGATGGAGGAGATGTGCCCTCTTTTTGAGGAGTTCTGTGTATCATAGGGTGTGGGCATTCCAATGGCCCCTTTGGTCAAGCATGAGGGAAAAATTGGCATGTTAGGTTTTTTTTTTGAAAAAACCATGTTTTCAGTTTAGCCGACACAGCTAGGGGGCTATGATTGTCGGAAGACCAGAAAGCATTTCTGCTTGCCTCTGATTGATGAATTTTCGGAGGCTCGCCCAGTGATCCAAACCGGCATAGGCTGAGGATGCGGGCTTGGTTTTCTGTTTATTGGCTGGCTTTTTTATTTTAACCGGGACCCAGGCTTTGGGGGATTGCGTCCTTGCCCCATGGTTCTACAAATGGAGGATTATGGGTGTGTATTGGCGGCATTGTGTGGCAGAAACCATCAGGAGCCTTACAGGCGGTATTGTGCTGGCTGAGACCATTAGAAGTCTTGACAGAGCTGCTTTAGGGTTTGACGATTGGACTGTTTCCCCCATCATTCTCCAGGTATTTTTCTATTATCCTACCTCATTCCTCTTCTTCCTCTTCTTTTTTTCTTATAACGGAAAAGATCCATTATTCAGGTTTGGTTGAGGGATCACTTTCAAGTAGTGGCTGCTCCAACCTCCCTTCCTTACAATCCTTCTCAATATCGCATGCGGAAAATCTTGCTCTCCCACCCTTCTACTGAGACATGGACTTCATGGCTGGTTGAATTGGGATGGGATTACTGTGGTTTCGTCCCCTTGGTACAATTCAACCGCTTTTCAGGGTCAGCTTTCGCCATTTCTCGGGTTTTATCTCTAGGCCTCACACACTGTATTCGGTACTGCGCTTCCGCGCGTTCTGAGGAGATAGGGATAGATCAAAACTTGTCCCTATTATGGGATGACATTTCAAAGCTGATTCAGCCATTACCCCGGGTGTTACCCGAGCCGTCCTTAGGGCTTGGGTCAGGGATCATCATATGGTTAGGCCTTTGCCTAACCCTGTCGGTGTTCAGACTTCTCCCGAGTATCGAACCTAGTTCATTCTGGTTCATTACCGCTGTCTGGCCGATTGAAAGACCAAGGAGGACTGCACTGCTGAGTGTTCTCGAAGGTTGGGTTCAGGCTGATGCTGAAGAGGAGATTGGGACAGGTGAGGAGATTGTGCTGGCCCCTCGGACAGACAAGGCTGGGCAGAGTTCAGCAGAAGACTCAGAGGATGCCGCTCCGCGGAGGCAACGGGATACCTAGACTCTTATGAACTTTTGTGATTTTTCCTTGTTTTGCCTTTCGTTTGGGACTTTGGATTTATCTTTTGATGTATGCTTTACACTTTCTTTAGTTATTTTTGGACTCTCTTGCTTGATTCTGGATTATTTGACTTTGTCATTTAGCGTTTGAACTTTCAAGCATTTTGCCAAAACTTTTTATTTTTTATTTGGCTCTAATTTTTGCCTAAGCCGCCCTTTCGGGTTTTTCAGCTTAGCGAGCTACCCCCTTTTGCCTAAGCCGCCCTTTCAGGTTTTCAACTTAGCAGTTCTTTCTTTTCTTTTTTTTTTATTTGGCAAAGAAGAATGAAATATGAAATGTTTTTTTTTTATTAATGGTTAGACCGCGCCCAAAGAGGGCTGCCTACATATCTCCGATACATAATTTCTTTTTTTTTCAAGGAGAATCAGGTCTAATGTAGCTCTTTCTACATTATGCAAATGATTACAACTACACAAAATATCTTCTTAACTGATCTATCAGGAATTACCTTTTTAACTTGATCTAAATTAATGGATTAGTGGAAATTCCAAGCCATCCCAATCAGTCAAAATAAACGGCTCCGGCCTGACAAGGACTTCTTCAACCACATAGGAGGTCCAGGCACCCCAATGGAGGACGGAACTTCCCCCGGTGGGATCTATGGACCGGTTGTCTAATTTCCTTTCAGAACCAAACAACCTTCTCCAGTTCGCGTCTTTGACCTTCTTGTTTAAATTGTCTTGCCATTCTTCCTTTGATAGACTTTGAGTTGGTGGATCGCTCGACAAATTCGGTTTTCATCCTACCCAGAGCTGCAAATTGATAATTTTCTCAGCCCAATTTTTGCTTCACTGATCTGGCTTTCCCGGATAACCTCGCCGACTTGAATTCCAGCTCAATTGGCCAATCACTGCTTAACCATGCCATACAGCCATACACTAGGGCGTACGGGGTTGCCCCAGTAGGCGTTCTGATTGAAGTCCTGTATCCCCATAAAGCATTTGGTAGTTGTTCATGCCATGCCCTATACCTCTGAATCGTCTTTTGCAAAATGACTTTTATGGCCTTATTCGCGGCATCGACGGCCCCATTTGTTTGTGGGCGATAGGGTGAGGACTTATGGTGCTGAATCTTCTTATGTTTTAAGTGTAGCAAATTCATTGTAGCACAGTCAAATTTACTGTAGCAAAGTCAACCAACAGGCTTTTTGAGCCTCAAAATTTGAGTATTCACAATACCGACAAAGGATGCTGGTACGTACAAACTGTGTTGCCTTCTTGGCGTTTAACATTGAAAAGGAAACTGCCTCAATCCATTTAGTGAAATAATCTACAGCGACCAGGATAAACTGGTGGCCATTAGAGGCTTTCGGGTGGATCTTTCCAACTACATCTATGCCCCAAGTTGCAAAAGGCCACGGTGAAGCAATTGGATTCAAATGGATCGGAGGCCGTTTTTGCAGCTTAGCAAAAATTTGGCACTCATGGCACTTACGCGCATGCCTCACACAATCCGAATTCATAGTTGACCAGTAATACATTCATAGTTGACCAGTAATAACCTTAGGGTTCATGATTTTTCCGCAGCCAAGGCTATTCCGTGCCATGTGTGACCCAGATTCCCCATTATGCACGGAATCCATAATTGGTTTGGTGCTTCTTTTCACCAACGCACCTTAGGTGCATTGCCTTCAAACTTTTTATAACAGACTCCCCGCGGTAAGGAAGTATCCCGACGCTACTGTCTCAATTGTCCGTTGATCAGTTTTGGTGGATCCCTTCCGGGTAGGCTTCGTTTCGAAGGGTAATTTCTGTATAATCCCAACCAAGGCTTTGTCATCCACAAATGCATGACGATGTGCTGGCTGCTTCTGAAGCCTAACTTGTCAGGGCCCGAATAACTTGCCTTTCCATAAGTAAATTTCAGGGTTAGATTCAGAGATTACGTGTTTTTTTGTAGTGTAAGACGAGATAGTGTTAGACGAGAGGTAGTGTTGCAGCTTGGTACAGGCCCAGACTAGAGCCAGGCACAACTTTTCTATCTTGTTGTATTTCAACTCATATTCCAGCATCCTCTTACTGAGGTAATACACGGCGTTTTCTATCCTTGTATCTTCTGCTTGTTGAGCTAATATGGCCCCCATTGCTTCTTCTGTTACCGACAAGTACAGTAGCAAAGGCTTTCCTAGCCTTGGTGGTTGTAAGACTGGCGGGGATAGCAGGTATTGTTTGACTTGGTCAAAGGCCGCCTGACAATCCTCATTCCATTTGACTGCCACTCCTTTCCTAAGTAGCTTGAAAATTGGGCCACAGGTATCGGCCAACTGATTGATGAAACGACTAATGTACTGTAACCTTCCCAAGAAGCCTCGGACTTCTTTTTCTGTCCTTGGTGCTGGCATTTCCAGAATAGCTTTGGCTTTCGAAGGGTCAATCTCTATGCCCTTCCGACGAACCATATGCCCCAGAAATACTCCGGATGTGGCTCCAAACAGACATTTTGCCGGGTTGAGCTTCAAATTATACTTTCGAAGTCTAAGGAAGAACTCGAAGTCTAATGGAAGGAGAACTTCTCAAGTGCTGTTGTATGTTTCTTCGGTTTGTTTTTTGGACTTTAAACCACATATCATCCACATTTACACTTCCCACCTCCTTGTGAATCCATGTCGTGAAAGATGGTCTTGCCATTCTTTGATTAGGTTGCCCCGGCAATTTTTGAGCCCGAGGGCATTGACCCTATTAGCAGTAGGTTTCCCCATTCCGTTGATGGAATGTCATCTTCTCTTTTGTCTGGCAATGCAATCATTATTGAGTACCCTGACAGCAAGATCGGTCAAAGAGGACCATCTCGTGTTCCAGGCCATTCGGATAAACACCAGTAAGTCAATATGTGCGCAGGGGAAAATCATTCCTTCGGGGCAAGGCTTTATTCAAATCCCTGTAATCCACACACATTTCGCACCTTTTCCATCCTTTCTTAGGAACCGGCACGGATGTTCGCCTAACCATGTCGGGTAGGGGGAATAGGTTCTATGAACTGGTTCTCAGCTGCTTTTGGCACTTCCTCCTTTGATTTTCAAGACCATTCTTTTTTAGCCCTTCCTTAGGCTTCTGTTTCATGGGCTTAGCCTCTGGATACACTGGGAATCTTGTGCACCACTTATTGCTGGGTCAATTCTATGATGTCCACTTGCTTGTTCACATTGAAGCAATCAGCAAATTTCTTTCAAACATTCACTGACCTGTTTCCCTGTTCATGCCAATTCAGGATGCAATGTATGATATTCATTTTTCCTGG